AGGATTTTAGCAACATTCCGTTCAAGATATTGAAGAACTTTCCTTCCATAATTTCCGTAGAGACTTCTTCTAATATTGTAGTAAACCATTCAATATTTGAAATTTGACTTTCAAATATTATTCAATCTATGACGCTTGGAGATTAAATCCCTGAAAATAATATTCCTTGATTATATTTTCTCGCATAAATTCATCACATGATGTTCTCTTTTCAATATTTGTTTGGATCTTTACCAACTTCTTTTTCCTTGAACAAACCTGCACAAGAATAAGTTTACCACAAGTAAATGCTATTTGATTAATAATTATATTGATTTGTTATCATCAAAATCAGTACGTGAAACCTTTAATATTTTTTGATATGATGATTTATTCCAAATCTTTAATATTTTTTGGAGCTTAAGTTATACACTATCCGTGTAAGAAATATTTTACTTTATCAAGTCAGTTAAAAAATATTTACAAGTAAGCCTTTTAAAATATGAAATTTATAATCCTTAAAATTAAATTAGTGGAATATAATTAAAACTTTCTATTTGTATGAAATTGATACATGCCAAATTTACCATTTGCTAACAACAACATCAACAAAAAAAATCCAGCTTAATCCGATACGTGGGGTCTAGGGAGGATAATGTGTATGCGGCCTTACCCCTACACTATAAAGCCAGAGAGGTTATTTTCGATAGACCCCCGGCTTAAGGAACGGTAAAAATAAAGCAACAGGCAATATAAACAGTAATGTAATAAGGTAATGGAAGCGAGTGACATAACAAGTAATAAAGAACTAAGAATAAAAGGATACAAGAATAATACTAGTACTACTGGTAAACCTAGGAGAAACTCACAAATGCGTAGGCAACCTACCACCTTAATCCTCGACCTCCACACCTTTCTATCGCGAGTCATGTACTCGGTTAGGTGAAGCAATGACATATCCTGCCTAATCACCTCTCCCCAATACTTTTTCGGCCTACCCCTGCCCTTCCTCAAAGCCCACTATGGTCAATCTCTCATGCCTTCTGACCGAGGCATCTATGTCTCTCCTCTTCACATGCCCAAACTAACCCAACTTCGATTCCCACAACTTGTCTTCCAGAGACCACTCTCACTTTGTCTCTAATAACTTCATTCTAATCTTGTTTTTCCTGATATGTCCACACATCCATCTCAACATACTCATTTCAGGCAACATACTCATTTCATAGCCGGTGAAAATTTTATTATTTGCTATAAAATAAAATTAGGTGTTGTACAAGTGAAGCTCGCGTTATCCTCAATTCTCCCGAACTCTGCTCCTCTTCCCATGCATATCCACTCCCTCAGCTTCATTCTGATCTATTCTTCACATATACCCCAATTTTGATTCCATTTTTTTGGCTCATTCTTCTCTTCATGCTTTCCTTCTTCCCTAGTTTCCCCACTGATCATCTCGATCTCTCGCTTTTCTTACGTACAAAATGAAGCTTTTCCCAATTTCCTCTGTCTTTCTTTTAAAAAAATAAAAAGAAATCTTCTGAAATACAAAATTCTGTGGAGTTGATGAATTCAAATCTTTTTGCATGTTTTAGAAATTAAAATATTTTCATTAAACAAATGACACTAACTTGGAATTAAAATTTAGTACTCCTAGTAGATTTGATTACATGGACGAAAGCAAAGACGATGGCGTGCATGGATGGGATCAGAATCCGAGTAGCACACAACCTGTTCGACAAAATGTTCAATCCAAAAGCCACCAGCTGAGAACATATACGGGGACGCACCACAAGCGTGAGCCCCACCAGCACCAGCTCCGCAATAATCGCAGCCTCGATGATCGCATCATTAATCACAATCATAATTATGGTTTGCCGCAAGAGGATTATTTATCAAACGATATTAAAGGCTCCTCTGATTTGGTTAATCAAAAGATTGAAGGTATTGGGCTGGCGGCCGATGGTTCAGATGATAAGAATCATGCATTGCCATTGCCGGAGTTTGAAGGAAGTGGGGGTGGAGTTGGAAACTTTAAAGTCTCAGCTCGTGCCCCTCTTCATCCTGCACGTCCTACTTACCTTGAGCTCAGGCCACACCCCCTCAAAGAAACCCAGGTGAACAAAATTAGTATTCCCTCTGTCCCATTTTCTGTGATGGTGTAATGGTGTTTTAATTATGAAACAAAAACTTTTAAAACTTGTGATCTAAAACAAGAGTAATAGACATTTGTCTAGCTCAATATATCATTGAGAGTATCATTCTTTTGACCGGCTAAAGATAAAAGTGTGTCATCATGGTCAATATTTTTATGGAGGAAATCGAGTGGAAAATGTTTTACCTTGGGGAATTGTTTGGTTGTTCATTAACCTATCTGACATATAGTACTGCTATTAGACAATGGCGGTGTCAGAGATTTATGTAAGGGGATTTTAAAAAAATTAGAACGTCAGACTTGAGATTTGAACCTGTGCCTAAAGCAATTTTGGACCCCTTTGCCACTTCATTATAACCAAAAAAAAAAAATCATTTTTACCCTATTTGCACGGTGTATTTTGTCAACGAAGGGGTTTCAATTGTACCCCTTTCCTTGACCTATTTCCTCCCTTGGTATTAGACGGAGAGCAGGGTATGATGATGGTGTTCTGTTATTATTTTTGAGCATTAAGGTTAACAACTAAGACACACATGTTGGTTAAAACAAGTGATATGGGATAAGAGTTTGAAATATATGTAAAAGGAAAATGACATCCACTCATAAGTGACGAAATAATTGTGCCTTTTGGTGAAAATATTTTCTTTAGAGAAAACAATTTACATACTAGAAACTGAATTATTCAAGAAAGATGATACCAAACACATCCAGCGTACTGTGTTAGTTTGTAGAAACAAGTGTATATGTTGGAAACACAGTTTTGAATGTGCATCGTCCACAAAAAAAAAAAGAAGATGAAATCAGGAATGAGTTACAAAATATTTAGAATGGATGGGGAGTTATTGATGTGTAACGCATGCACATCTCTACATTTTTTCCCCTTATTATCCTCTTTCCTTTTCTCTTTACAAAATTTTAATAACAATACAGGTTGGGAAATTTTTGAGGACTATTGCCTGTACAGCGACACAACTGTGGGCAGGACAAGAATCTGGAGTAAGAGTGTGGAATTTTTCAGATCAGTATGAGCCTGGAATGGGAGCTGGAGGTCGTGCAAGGAGAGGGGATGAGGATGCAGCACCATTTTATGAGTCGGCTGATATGTCACCCACATTATGTTTGATGGTTGATTCTGGGAATGAGTTGATCTGGAGTGGGCATAAGGATGGCAAGATTAGGTCTTGGAGAATGGACCATCCTAGTTCTGATGACTCCCCTTTCAAGGAAGGCCTCTCCTGGCAGGCTCATCGTGGTCCTATTCTTTCAATGGTGATATCTTCTTATGGTAATCTCTAGTTTTTCCTTGTTCGCGTTTTCAATTCATATATTAAATTAACCTATGATCCTAGTCAATGTTTATCATTTTGATCACCCTATTTAACTTCTATTGTTATCTTGTCTTACTGGTCTACCTCACTACCTTATCTTAGCTTTAATTATGCTGAAATAATCTTTTGCTTCTGATAGTGTTCCAAGAACAATATATCATAACTACTCACTTCTTGGATAACAATATATCATGACTACTCACTTCTTGGTCCAGGTGATATATGGTCTGGGTTTGAAGGTGGTATCTTACAAATTTGGCCACGTGAAGCAGTAAACAAATCTCTCTCTCTATCACCAGAAGAAACACACATGGCTGCTTTACTTGTGGAAAGGTCATTTGTTGACCTTAGAAGCCAAGTTACAGTTAATGGTGTATGTAATATCTCGTCTTCTGACATAAAGTGTCTGCTCTCTGATCATGTAAGAGGAAAAATCTGGGCAGCTGGATCTTTATCCTTCTCGTTATGGTATGTTCCTCTACATTGCTTCCAGATGAACATGATGTATGTATTTGTTTAATGTTTATTCATTAGGGAAGAGGTAAAACTTTCTGTACTGATTAATTGTTTAGCCACTAATTACCCTGATAGTTGGACAACTGCAGGGATGCACGGACTAGGGAACTCCTGAAAGTGTATAATATAGACGGTCAGATTGAGAATGGGGTTGATATGTCATCGATGCCAGACCAAGCAGTGGAGGATGAGAGGAATGTCAAGCTTGTCTCCAAATCTAAAAAAGAAAAGTCACAAGGAAGTAACTTTTTCCAGCGTTCACGCAATGCTATAATGGGAGCTGCAGGTGCTGTACGTCGAGTTGCAACAAAGGGGGCAGGGGCATTTGCAGAAGATAATAGGAAAATAGAGGCCCTTGTGCTTGCATCTGATGGGATGATTTGGAGTGGATGTTCAAATGGCTTACTTCTGCAGTGGGATGGAAATGGCAATCGTTTGCAAGATTTTCATCATCATCCTTGCGCTGTTCTATGCTTATGTGCTCATGGTTCTCGAATATGGGTTGGCTATGTAAGTGGTATGGTACAGGTCCTGGACCTTGAAGGGAACTTGCTAGCTGGTTGGGTTGCTCACAACGGGCCTGTAATAAAAATGGCAGTCGGGGATGACTATGTTTTTAGCTTAGCTAATCATGGAGGTATACGCGGATGGGCCCTCGCCACTCCAGGACCTATTGATAACATATTACCATCAGAAATAGCTGAGAGAAGATATTTATACACCAGAAAAGATAATTTTAGGATTTTGGTTGGTACGTGGAACGTTGGTGAAGGAAAAGCGTCACAGGAAGCACTGGCAACTTGGCTGGGTTCTGCAATTTCGGATGTTGGGATTGTAGTAATTGGGTTGCAAGAAGTAGAAATGGGAGCAGGTTTTCTTGCAATGTCTGCTGCAAAAGAAACTGTAAGCTATCAAAGCACACCCTTTACATCTTGTAAAGAAAATGGACCGTGTGCCTAACTCAACCTCAAAAGCTAGGTCATGAGGTTAGGATTGTCCAAGATCATATAAGAAAACAACAATTCATTCCCTCAACCAATGTTGGACATTCTAGCCCCTGCATGCCCAGGGCTAGACATTTGGAGCGTGGAAAATATAACATGGGAGTCCAACATTGAGTAACTAAAGAGTTGAGATGAGTCTAGCCCTAATATCATGCAAAGAATGTACCTTGGGCCTAACTCAATCTAAAACTAGCTCATGAGGTGAGGGGTTATCCAAATGTATATATGGAAACAACATCGCATTCCCTCCACCAATGTCCCAAAAACTAATTAAAAGGAAAAAAGAGACAAAGGCCAAATCATTGACTGAAGAGGGGGGCAAAGAGATATTCACCTTTGACTTCTTCTCCGCTTATTGACAGAGACAGTTTAACACATCTTATAGGGATCCTAGCTGATTTAATAGAAACACCACCTTCAACTGGCAAGTTTGGCATTCAATAGAAAACAAAAAGTAATTAAAATACTTGAGATCTATTATTCAGGCCCAAAAAGTCAAGAATCTATTAGCTAAAAGATTTGACAAGATACAATGTCTATTCTGTCTCTGATTGCTTATCAAATACCTGAGCATGATTAAGAGATTATAGGACATGGTCTACCATTGTATGTATCCTGTAGGTAGAATCCTAGATCTGCTAAAGGAACTTTTGCATTTCAAGAAGCAATCATTGAGCACAGAAAAGTTGTATACTCATTGGCTTATCTTCTTTTTTCAATTTGTTTTTATTGCATAGGGGGATCAGGGAGGAAGGGCAGATTAGTGGGAGTCAGACCCACACCTATTGTGTGGGAGACTCCCACTCACCACTAGGCTATAAGCCTTGGTGATGTACTGGATGGCTTTAAATGCTCAATTTAGTTAGCAAGACTTGCTCTCTTTAGCATCTCTTTTAATAGTTCCAAGTCTATCATTAATTCAATTTTGTATTAGATATTATTGATAATTGAGGATACTCATACTGGCAACCATGTCGATAGTGAAACCTTATACTTTCCTGATCTTGTCTAATGTGCATAGCATTATCCTGATCGCAATGTCAACTGTAGGTAGGACTAGAAGGAACTTCTAGTGGGCAATGGTGGCAGGATGCAATAGGAAAGACTTTGGACGAAGGATCAACTTTTGAAAGGGTAGGATCAAGGCAACTAGCTGGCTTGCTTATTGCTATCTGGTAAGAACTTATGATGGTTATTTTTAATGAGCTATTCTCCATTCTTCAAACTGAAATGGAAGTTGTGCCTCAAAAACCCCATTCTTCGTAAAACGTCGCATTTCGGACTGAATTAGCTGAAGTATTTCTTCCATTGGCTCCTGCCTATTCATACTACTAAAATATTATGTTTATTAACACCCTTTAACTTACTGCAACTATATTGGGATTATGGTGCAGTTGATTTATTGATTGTTAATCTTTAACTTAGGGTGAGAAAAACTCTTAGAGCACATGTGGGGGACCTTGACGTTGCGGCAGTTGCATGTGGTTTAGGACGTGCAATTGGTAATAAGGTAAGTATCTCTTCATGTTAAGAGGTATAGCAAATCCTTGATCTTGTCCAGATTAGAATTCATCAAACTATTTAAGTAGTCAAATTGGACAAAATTCTAGGTAGTCATTCAAGGTGAGGTAATGAAGATGATTGAGACACTACTTAAGACAATTATAAGGGCTTCATCTTATAGTCTAAGTTATTGTCTTTTTCTCCTTGAAAAGGGAAATGAACTGGCTGGCACAATGTTTTTATGGTTATACAATTATAATCCAGGGTGGAGTTGGTCTGCGGTTAAGAGTACTTGATCGGATTATGTGCTTTGTGAACTGTCACTTTGCAGCACATTTAGAAGCAGTCAACCGCCGCAATGCTGATTTTGACCATATATATAGAACAATGGCTTTCACTCGATCTTCTAACCTTCTTGACAATGCTGCTGGTATGCTGCGATACCTGTTTTTGACTTGCTCTCTTGTCTTCTCCACATATTTACTGTGGCTGCTTTACTCTTCTGGCCTGCCATGGATCCTCTCTCTTGCAGCTGGTGTTTCATCTGCTGCTCAAATGCTTCGTGATACAGATGTATGATGCAGTATTTGTGTTCATCAGTTTCATACCATCTTTACAATTGAACTAACGCTTAAAATCCTCTATAAAAGGCTGCAGCAATTAGTCCTAACGAGGGAAAGCCTGACCTTGCTGAAGCTGATATGGTGATTTTCTGTGGTGATCTTAATTATCGTCTTTTTGGAATATCTTATGACGAAGCAAGGGACTTTGTCTCGCAAAGATGCTTTGAATGGCTTAGAGAGAAAGATCAATTAAGGGCAGAAATGAAAGCTGGCAAAGTCTTCCAAGGGATGCGTGAAGCAATCATCAAATTTCCTCCAACTTACAAATTTGAAAAGGGGAAACCAGGATTAGGAGGTGAGATATATTTGTAAATGATTAACATGCGACTCAACATCTTACTTTCTTACACTTTGTTAAGTACTAGTTAAACTGTTTTTTTAGTGTGTTTGAATGACAAAGATATGTCCAAGAACCAGTTTGATATTGCCTTTTGGATTGTATTTCTTAATGCATGAAATGTCAAAAAGCACTGAAAGATGTTTTCTCTTTCCACCTTAGGATATGATTCTGGGGAGAAGAAACGAATTCCAGCTTGGTGTGACCGAGTGCTATATCGAGATAGCCGGGCAGCTCCTTCTATGGAGTGCAGTTTATGGTGCCCTGTAGTTGCTTCCGTCTTACAGTAGGTTTCTCAGTGCTCAGTAGGCTCTTTCTTGTTTCATGTAGAAACTAATTTCTCTTATGTGATAGGTATGATGCTTGCATGGAAGTGACCGAAAGTGATCATAAGCCCGTAAGATGCAAATTTAACATTGAAGTTGCCCATGTTGATAGATCAGTAAGGAGACAAGAGTTTGGGAAGATTTTCCGGTATAATGATAAAATCAGGTCTTTACTGGCAGAACTGCGTTATTTACCTGAAGTAGTTGTCAGCGCCACCCAGATATTTCTTCAGAATCAAGAAGCATTCAGCTTAATAATTACCAACAAAAGCAGACAAGATAATGCTTTCTTCCAAATCACTTGCCAAGGTCAATCAGCTATCAACGAGGACAAGCAAAAATCAGAGAATCGTCCCAAAGGTTCTTTTGGCTTTCCCCGTTGGCTTGAGGTGATTTCCAAGTCCATGGCTTATTGAACAATCACTCTTCTTGAGTCCCAATTTTTTTTTTTTTTTTTTTTTTTTTTTTTTTGGTGAATTTACTTATCCATCCGAAAGTTCACCGGCTATGAAAAGAGCGTAAAAATAGATTCAAGCTCCAAGGATTGTTTGTCCCTTATTTTTTTCAATTCTTGGCTTCTTACGTCATACTTATAGAGTGTCATCATAAAATGGATGAAGGCGAAACTCCCTCTACATAATACATTTTGTAACATGTTGTAAACAACAGAAAAAGCATACTTAATCCAGGAACCTGAGCCATAATACTTTACTTTCTATACTAAAAAAGAATAGCATTTTATACTACTCTGGACTGATAGTAGACCTCTTCTGCAAGCACTGCCAGCTTATAAGTTTGTCTGATTCAGGTCACACCTGCGGCTGGAATGATCAAATCTGATCAAGATGTCGAGATCTTGGTACGTCAAGAAGAGTTACATAATTCAGAAGATTCTGCAGATGGTATTCCACCAAGCAAATGGTCTGAGGACACAAGAGAAAAGGAGGTGATTTTGATGATCAATGTGAAAGCCAGTTGCTCGACTGAGGTAAGAACACATCAGGTACACCTCCGCTGCAGTTTCTCAGCTAATGCAGTATGCATGATTTCAAGAAGCAGTTCCAGAGGAAATGAAGGGAGCTCCCACCAAAGGTCAAACAGTTCCAGAAGAAATGAAGGGAGCTCTCACCACAGGTCAAACGGCTCCAAAAGAAATGAAGGGAGCTCGCACCACAAGTCAAACAGTTCCAGAAGAAATGAGGGGAGCTCCCACCACAGGTCTGTTCAACATGTGGGGAGTGCATCTGACATGATGAATGACCATCAAGGCTTTCATCGTACCTGATATCTGCATGAAAGCCTATAAACAAAAACAAAACAATTGCACCACAAGGTGGTTCCAAGCTATTTTCTTTGATGTAAAAGGTTGGGATTCCCTTTGCTGACAATAAGTGATAAATCTTGATGTATATACTCATAAGATGATTAGTGTGGAGCTTGGTATCCAGCTCAGAAATCTGGGCATAGAGTATTCTTTCCCTCTTCCATTTTTGCAGTAGAACTAGGTTCCTAGATTTTTTATTGTTAATATTATCTCAACATTATATGATAAATTTTGCAGTTTTGATCAGTCGAAAGCTGTTTATGATTCACCAAAAGACTACTTGGCTGTAGATATGCACGATTCTTGCCAATTCTTTATTGTACAGTTCTTTTTTTGACTAAGCTATTCTCAGTCGTGTTGCATTCATGTTACATTCAGAGAATGGCTGCTCTGCAAGTCTCGTGCCCTGCATTTATGCTGATATGCATGCCAAGAAACATAAAAGATGCTGGATATATTGTGATTCTGATACCTCGTTGTAATTACCACCTGAGTCTAGAATCAAGATACTCTAGATGGGGAAGAAAGAAGGAAGTAAAAAATTGTTAGATGACGCAAATAAGGTAAGAATGAAAGCAAGAAACTTTATCTTGATTTGAGTTCTTCCATGGTCCGGGACCAGGCCTAGTTGACTCATCCCAAAACTGAATACACTACCTCAACCAAACAGTGCTGTCTCATCAGCTCAAAATCGTGTCAAAGGGGAGAACGAAGAACGTAACAGGTGGACCAAGTTTGAATGACGGAGAGCTCGTTCTAGGTGTTGTCGAAATTTGGCATCATTCAGTGACACTTCGATTCATGGACCGACTTGTCTGGAAAGGAATCCATGGTTCGTATCACTGATGGTATGAAGGTTTCTAGCTGATTGGTATGTATCTTCTCCAGAGCTGTGCTTGTAGCCAAAATGTTGTTTACTGGATGCGATGTGGCATCAATGTATCCTTCATATTAGCACTACAAAGGATGAGGCTGAGGTTATTCGTGGCGACTCTAGGGTCATTGGGAAAAGTATAGTCGCTGAAACTTATTCGTGGCGATAGGTGGAAACAAGGCTACAAACACCTAGCTTTGGTGGTCAGCGCTCTCAGGTCTTATGCTCACTGTGTAATAAAGAAAATTGACAATAGAGGTGACATTTATATTGTACATGAAATTTCACTTCTTTCAGCGTACATTCCTGGACTTCTTTATATATATACACAGACACACTAGGAAAGGCTGCTGGCACAAAGAATAGAATGACCTGCTCCTCAATCTTGCTAAATGCACAAACTAGAAACTCTTAGCCAACTGAAAATAACAGGCAAAATTGGAGAACTTGCTCAAACTAGAGATTCTGCTCCTTTAAAACCTACTAATTGTCAATCTTGAACTGAGACTTCCCTTTCCTTGAGACACAATGTTGTGCTCCTATTATCTTACAAGCTCAACTTTCACAGAACTAGCTCATTCTCAGGGCTTAGCTTGTTCTTCATGTTGGCAGAATTCTAACAAATTATGGCAGCTGGAAAAGATGGACCTTCATGATGAGGCAAAAAAACTATCATAAAATCTACAATGACACCATTTTGTTTGATGAACTAAGAAGTTGATCAGGTATATAGGCATAAAAATAAATAGCAGCCATCCCCACATTCTTGATACGGAGCGCCTATCTGGTGTGCTAGTATTGTAGCCATATAGTTAGTTAACTTCAAGAAAGCATGCTTCTCGAGACTGTCGCATTTTTATGAGGCAAAAACTGAAATATCTGCTAAGGCTTCATTTTGAACTTGTACGGAATATGTTTGCAACAATTCAGTGGTTGCAGGAACCCACATTAGAGAATTTTGCGGGGACAGATATAATAGAAATATTATTGAGAATCTATTGAAACTCTCTGCTCATTTGTTCCTAAGCAGCACAGATCCTTTTTGTACTTTCACCATTCTGAATCTGATGCCATGGCAGAAGTTCTTGGACCTCATGGTTGAGAACTGCATATATTTGCTTATAGTTTTAATTACAAAGCTCCGTGTTTTATGCCATAGGCAGAAAGCTGCCTGATTGTTCTTCCTAGACTGCATACATCCTCTTGTAGTTCTCACTGCAAAGCTCCGTATCTGATGCCACAGACAATGGAAAAGAACGTGAATGAGTCTCATCTCTTCTAATGCTCCTCAGCCTCGATTCTTCTAGCCTATGTTGAACTACACAATAGCACATGGAGCCAATTGTAGTGAGCATTATTATGCTCCCAATTACAGTTGCATAGACAGCAAGCCATCTTTCCTTAGATCCAACTACCACGTAACTAAGAGAGATAAAGGCGATCGAGATGAAGAGGCAAGCTGCCCACATGAGCTTGTTTATCCAAAACATGAGTCGCTTCTTTGCTTTCTGTTCAATCACGACCACGGATGTCTGGACCACGACAACAGCAACTGAAATAAACAAGGCCATACTGTCGAACAAGAAGAAGATTATGAAAGCTGCTTTTCTGCCTATGTTTGCTTCGCCAAGAGAAAATCCATCTGTTTTCTCTTCAACATATTGGCCAGGTACAGTGAAGATGGCAGCAAAAGCAACAGTGGCAATAAGTACAGCGACAACTGTTGCATTGTTGATGGCATTATTAAGACCACTAATGTGGAGCTTCTTCACCTTCAATGCAATTTTTCGTACTCTGAAGCCAGTCTGCCGACTCTGTTGGAGCTGGGAGTGCACATCATGTTTTATGTCACTGACAGTCTGCTTGAGTTGCTTTGCAGCAGGAGGGGGATTCCCGTGATCTTTGGAATGGGTAGCTCCGGCCTCTTTCAAAATAGAAACAAGCTCTGGAGTTCCAAACTTTTCTGCAATATCAAGAACCGTTTCTCCAGCCTTATTAATGGCATTGAGATCGATGCCCTCAATTGATATAAGACATTGCACCATCTGCAATTACGCATAGCGGAATTTTATTAGGACGGTTTTCCTAGATTGAACATGCAAAAGACATTGTACCATCTGCAATTACACATAGCGTAGTTTCATACAGACAACTAAAAAGGACACATGAAGTAGGACTTTGGTTTTCCTAGATTAAAAAAAAAAATTATAACCAGAGAATATATCTCAAAATCTTTCTGTCACTTAAACTGGCCGGAACATCAAATGCACAATTTCGAGCTAGAGACTGCACAGTAGCTTGATTCTTGATGTCCCTAATGAACATTTTAAACATAACAGAAGAACAAGCCTGCACTTGGAAACGTACTTGGGAGCTATATCGCCAAGGTATCATATATGTAAAAACAATAATTTAGCAGTGACCATATGTAAACGACCTAATCCCAGAAAAAATGGATTCGGAAGAAACAAGCAAGATAACATTTTGCTTGTTCGTCCTTCTGGTTTCTTTTTTCCTTGTGGTTGAATTAAGTAAGCTATCTTGCTTTCAGGAGGCATCGAAATCAGTTAGCTGTTTACGTCAGCTCTTACAGACTTTAGGTTTAGTGATAAAGAAAATACAGGATTTTCTGGAAGGAAAAGCGCATTTTGGTGACAAATAAGCTACTTTTCTCTTAAATATATATGAGTCCGTTTATCAGTTTTAGTTGGAAATTTTTAAAAACGTTCCAACATTTCAAAAGATTTTCCAGATTAGTAAATAAGATTAAAATAATGATATAATTATTAAATATTTCTCCAACTTCTACATCAAGTCATCAATGAAGTACCCCTTTTTGGTTGCTCTTATGTCAAACACAGCCATCTAAGATAAGCTACTTCTGAATGAGCAACTTATCACGTTCGTACAAAGAATGCAGCTTATGTGGGTCAAAATTTTCATATTAAATTAAAGTAACAGACACTGACCAAGTGCGTGCAAATCATAGAATAAAGTCAGATCATGTGTGTGAGGACATGATATATGACAATAAAAGATTAAGTGTTTCTAAATATTCCTTCTCTCCAGGAATATAACTGTCTAGCAAGGAAACTGGAACTTATCAGTAACTCATTTCAATAACCATTTTGTGGCACGAAAAGAACTCACTCTTCACCTGCCCATTATCCCTCAAGTTTGAAACTTTCTTTCTTGATTAACCAGATAAACAGCATTTGCTCAATCTACGAGCATTTCTTCAAGATAGAAAACACATACTACATTCGCCTCACATATAAAAAATCTCAACTTCGTGGAAGTTGCTTTACGAGAAAAAATAGGTTAAACAAGCAAACCTGTACTCTTCCCTTTCTTGTTGCAATATGAAGTGCTCTGTTTCCTTTGTTATCTTCCAAGGCCAATACAGAAGGATTTGGTTTGATTAATTCAAGCACGATATCAACATTTTGTCCCTTTGCAGCCATGTGTAGGGCAGTCTGGCCTTTTTTATCTGTTCTAAAACCAATATCAGGATCCTTGCTCAGAAGGGATCTAACTATCTCCAAGTGGCCCATTCTTGCTGCTGTATGGAGCACAGTTTTTCCATTGTTTCGAGCAATCTTAACCAGGTTTGAATCAATCTCCAGAAGCATATTTACTACATGAATATGTCCCTGTGCAGCTGCTGTGTGTAACGCCGTAGAATTGGATGAATCTGTGGTCATGACTAGGTTTGGAAATGAATGCAGCAGTTCCTCCAGTACATCTGCAATTTTATCCCCAAAGCTGTTTACAAGTGCAAGCAAGAATCCTAGGAGACTATATTGAGAAACAAGCTTGAAACAACAATAAAAGATCAAGATATGACCACTAAAGTTTCTTTTTCCGGTCTCCACAAACATATAAGCTCTAATGTGATCAAGTTACACAGGCTAAGTGTTAGGATCGGGGTTCCAGGTGATATGTGCAGTTTGATAAAACAAGCCCTAACGACAAAATTAAGACTACGAAGAGAAATGCACCAAAAAGAAACAAAGATATATGTGGTTCGATCATCAGATATACGTCCCCAGATGGAAATTAGCAATCTACCATTTCAGATATGGTATAAGAGAGAGTGAAATTAGCAATCTACTCATTCAATTCTTTCTCATTTAAGATGTGCTTAAATATATCAATGGAGTTCATTCTAGTTCTTAGTACTACGTAATTGTTATCTTTGAGTTGTACTACTGCTTGTAAACATTCCAATTTAGTTTCTTTAATTCTTGAGCACATTACAGGTAATCAAAATGATTAATAATTTCAGCAACTAGGCTTGTGGAAACTTGTGTATCCATAATTATCTATATTCTTACTCAATCCTACAGTGAAATGGTCAAACAAGAAGTTTAAGACAGAAATAATCTGTACTACAGCATATCAAATTAAAGGTCTGGAAACTCAGATCCAGGATAGAAGTTGAACACTCTATTTACAGATATTAGTAGTGATAAATTGCATGTGAAGTACCAATTTCAAGTCCACAATATACCAAATAAAGCACAATTATCCTTGAAGTCCACATTTATACTGGAAACTTTGACTCTTCAAAAGCAAATCTGAAAAGTTAATTCAGACCTCAACTTTCTCTTATTCCTTTTTTTGTTCTTTTTTCTTTTTAATTGGGGGGGTTTCTGTGTTAGAAGACTCACCAAGATGACCCTGCCTTGCTGCAACATGGAGAGTATCATAGCCATTATTTGCCACAATTGAAGCAGTTTCAAAGTCTAAATGTTTCAAGAACTCTGCAACAACCAAACTGTGGCCATTCTCAGCAGCAACATACAAAGCAGTCTCACCCTCTTGGTTTTGCTTACATAGCAAATCTTTTATGCCTTTCTCATCAAACTTGTCAACAATTTCTTTCACTTTTCCTAAATTCCCTCCTCTAGCTGCAAGGTGGAGTATCGAATCCCCTCGTCTCCCCGGTGATTCCTTACCCCTTTTCCTCTCACCACCAAAACTCAATTGCCTCTCCATCCTAAAGCTTTTCTGCTTTTCCATTATTCTTCTAAAGCTTTTCTGCTTCTCCTTCGCCCCATTTCGAAAACTCTGTTGCTTTTCCATTGTTGGACCCTGGAAACTAACCTGTTTCTCCATTCAATCCAAAATCTTAATTGATTTCTTTCTTGTATATCAGTTCTCCTTATAATAAAGATCCCAACTTTTTCCACTTTCAAGAACTACAAAGGTTGAAACTTTTCGTCATCATCACTTCAATTTGGGAAGGAATTTACTAAAATATCACCTTTTCCACATTTCTAGCTAAGAATCTATAGTAGCATTGGTTCCATGGGAATCAGAAACTAAAAATACCTGCCCTACAAAAATTTGAAGCGATAAAAACAACCTTTTACGTTATGAGTCTTGAAGCTATCAAGAAGAAGCAAATCACAGGTCAAAAAAGTAACAATCTTTCAGTGGATTTACAGAACAGGAAAACAAAGCAAGAACTCAAATTAAATAAATTGAGATAAAAGAACTGATCTTTATAGAGCTCAACTTCATTTTTTATGAAACCCCAGAAGCTGAAAATCAGAGAATCTTGTTTGGTGACAGATGAAATCTTGAAAAACCCCAAAAAATATCAAGAAAAGGAAACACCATTAACCTTATGGTATATACCATTTACATGTATAATAATACCAAAAGCAGTATATAAGCAACAAAAAAGTCACTGAATCCAATGGCTTTGCCCATGTCAGGCTCTACGAGACACGGTTACTATTTGAAGATTTTTATTATAAATATTTTAACTGAGTGCTCCCTCCGTTTCAATCATGTGAACCCAGAGAAATTTAAAAAAATAAAGAAACTTTTGAATTTATAGTGTAACACAAGCCATATAAATTATTACATAAATATAAATTATTTCCAAATAAAAAAAAAATCATTATTTTTGGCACGAATTAAAAATAAAAATAGATTCGAAGGGATGTAATATTAATTATTATTACTCTATCCCAACAGAAAAGACTTCTCCTTTTTACTTTTTGGTTACTTAAAGAGGCAACTTGTTAGTCGCCATTGATATTAACATCAAACGTGCACTAAAAGACAGACAGAGATACATACAGCTGAGAGCAGGGGGGCCATTGGTATACATTTGCTATATATATTGTGCAAGCATGAGATGATAAAGATAATTGGTGGGCTCCTCTATGTTGCAAGCGAACTACCAATTTCAAACTAATTTAAGGGGGGGGGGGTTTTGACACGTTACCCACAAAAACAAAATTATTTATTTTTGTCTATCTATTTATTTTTCTACCCATAAATTAATTATATTTCTTACCCATAGTAATTTTTGTGGGGGGAATTTTTTCTTTATTCTCCAATTCTTTTTATTTCTATGCTTCTTTTCTTTCTTTTCTTTTTTTTTCTTTTCTCCTTTTCTTTTTTCCCGTTTTCTTCTTATTTTTTTTCTTTTTTCCTTTTCTAATTTCATTTAACTTCTTTTTTTTATATTCTTTTTCTCTTCATAATCTACTTTCATTTACTGTTTTCGCTATTTTTTTATTATTCTTTTTTTAATATTATTACTAAAGAAAAATCAAATTGTGTACCAATTAAATGTAGCTAATACAACCAAAAAATATTAACTAACATTTGATACCAGTATAGTATATAGATATACCAACAGGGTATACAATTATACGCAAAGAGTTAAAAAAAGTATAATTCAATTATTAAACTGAAATAATATCAGTTGTCAATAAAAACTTTAAAAAAATCTAAAAGGATCTAATTGTAAGAGTATACCGTTACATCATATAGCATACTGTAATTTTTATTTTTATTTTGCATTTTCAGTTTGCCCCTCACGCTAGGTAAAAGCTTAAAGCAAATTAAAAGGGAAAAGGCAAGTGAATTTACGTGTAATAAGTATACTATTATAGTATATTGTATATTATTATAGCATATTGTTACAGTATATTGCATAATTATTACAGTATACTATAACAATATATTGTATACTATAATAGTGTACTGTTGCAGTATAACTATATACTCCTACAGTATATTGTATACTGTAGCGGTATACTGTTAGGTAATTGTGTTCTTCTTTGATTATTACAATATACCGTTGCAGTATATTGTAAACTATAATAGTATACTGTTGCAGTATAGCTATATACTCATACAACATATTGTATACCGTAGCAGTATATCATTGGGTAGCTGTGTTCTTTTTCGATTTTTAGCTGAAATTTCCAACTCAATCACCTCAAATCAGCTCCAAATGTTATCAGATTTCAGTATGAACTTCTAGAAGGCATTATAAGCAATATTTAACAACACCCACTTTGAATCAAACAAGAAATCTACAAAATAAAAATTTTAAGCCAAGGCAAGAGCAAGAGCTAGGGAAAGAACAATCAAGAAAAAGTAGAGCAGAATTAAAACTAGCCAGAGGTCAACTTCTCAGATAATCAGATCTAATTTCTTTTTGAAGAAGGATATAAGGGAAATGGAAGAACAATTTTGTAAGAACAAATTACAAGTAAGTCAAGAAATAGCAAACAAGAAAATAATTCAAGGATCTGGAGTTACTAAAATTAAGACCAAGCCTTCTTTAATCTTGGGTCTTCACCCAAATTTCTCTGCTCCTATAGAGTCATCAACTACCTACTAGGGGTAACCTGAAGTTGTGCCCTCGTCCAAATTATCAGTGTAGAAAGGTAATATAGCTTCTCATGCGGCCTTGGCTGGTGATACGAATCTCATTTGCATCAATGGGTGTTTCTACTCTTGGCTTTTCCACCTTCTGGTATCGATCCATCTATTATTAATAACAACAAATCAAGTCAAAAATCCAAAGAAGAAATTACTACTAACTCAGGAGAAAGAAGACAAATTTGGATTTGTTAGGAGTGTAAAAATGGAAACTAGGGTTTGAGAGATGGGATCTGAAACCTGAAGTTGTACCCTCGTCCAAATTGTCATTGTAGAAAGAAGAGCTATTTTAATAGAATAAATAAATAAGCGGGTAAATAGTTTGGGCCGCATGGGTAGGAGTAGTAAATAATTTGGGCCTGGGCATTAAAGGGTAAATAATCTAGAATTAATGGGTATAAAGTGAGATTTTCTCATTTAAGTGGGTGTTTGGATTATGGGTGTCAAGGGGCCGGGCCGGGCTAGAGGAAAAGGAGACCGGCCGGTCTCCGTACTGGTCCGGTTACCGATTTCAAAATATCGGTCTTAGCGAGTCCGAGCATCGCCAGTGAAAATTTGAACTGGAACGATTCCGGGCCTAAGGGGCCGGGTCGAGCCGGTTTTATTTTAATTTTTTTTACCTATTTTGTATAGCTATCGTAATTTATATTACGATAAAGTAAAAATATATAACATAAAACAATCTGTTTGAATAAATTTTAAAGGCTTTAAAAGCCTTATATTTGGAATTTTGAATAAAAACTTCAAAGGCTTTAAAAGACTTATATTTGAATATTTCATTAAGAATTTAAGATAATACAATAATGTGAAGAAAAAAATTAACTTATAATTTGCAAGTTCTTTTTTTTAATTCAAACTTGCAAATTAAAGTTTGCATTTTACAACAACTAAATTTAACAAAAAAGAGAGTAAATTCAAATTTAAATTATTAAATATAATCTTGAAACTTCAAAGGTTTTGCATTGCCTTAGTAAGTTCTTCATAATCAATATGAACTTCTTGGCCATTTTCTGGAGTGTTAAATTCATATGGGTTACCATGTGTTAATATATCTCCAAGTTCCTCGTCTTCTAGTTTATCAACATCTTCACGTCCTTGATTTCTTCATTCCGATCTAATCCAATCTTTGGAACATACTAAAACTTCCAAAGAATTGCTTCCCAATGAGTAACAGGTGTAACTAGTTGTTGTCTTGCTTGACTAAATGTCTCTCTGATGCAACAATTGAAATTGACACATTTAGCACGTCCCGAGCCATTGCGTAAAGAACATGAAATTGCTTTTCATTTTCATGCCACCATGCCAACGGTGAAAATTCCTTTGTGCGAGGCTCTGTTTGCTTTTGTAAGTAGAAATGAAGTTCATCAATGTTCCTGCTACTGGTTTGAGTGAAAGAAAATGTAGACCAAATATTAAATTCATCAAGGCCTTCATCTTCTTCCAGAGTAGTAGATGTAGTAGAAGCAGTACAATGAATAGTGAGATTAACATTGCCTACATTATTAGCAGCATCATCAATTATATTTTCATAATAAATATATATTATTGTTGTAAATAATCATTTAGTTTGTCTATACAACAATATATATCTAGGGTTTCAGTTGGTCCAATCTCCATATAAGTATATAAAACATTGATTAATTGGTGACAATTAGACATCTTAATAGAATGATTTAAAACAGCACCAACTAAGTAAATAGGAGGAATTAGAAAGAGATATTTTTTGAATTTTGCTTGCATTTTTCCAACATCATCCTTATATTTTTCTTTCTTCTTAAAATCAGAGAGTAGAAAAGAAATTTCAGCTATATGTACTAAAGTCATAGTAACAGTAGGGTAATATGCTCCAGAAAACTCAATAGTAGTTGTATAAAATTTATGTAAAAATTTAACAACATCATTAATGGCCTCTTAAGTGTTAGTTGTTAACATACGGTTTGGATCAGTACAATGCGCATTAGCAACTTCAGTTATAGGCAATTTGTAGCAACATTTTAAAAATAAGTATGTATAATTTCATCTAGTAACAATTTCATCTGGCATGAATCTGGGGTTAAGGTTATGTTCGATACACTTAGTCTTAAATTCTCTAATTCTAGATTGTCTATTATTTCCTTGAATAATACCAACTGCTCTTCTAACATGAGTAATCTCGGTCGAAAATAAATCAAGGCCACTTAAACGATTAAATTATAAACATGACATGCACACCTAACATAAAAAATTTCGTCAAGTGGTGGTTGCGATTGTAGTCTTAATATTGAAATAGATACCTTTTTCCATACAATAATTATCATCTATCCAATGACATGTAATTGTCAAATAATCATTTTCATTAAAAGCATGGCCAGTATCAGAAGTTAGAGAAACTCTACAAGGAAGGTGGTCAAACAAATAATGTATCTATGTCTGATATTGTCCATGAAGTCTAAAGATATCAGATCTACAAGTATTTCTAGGGATACCTTTAGATAAATGACTATAAATCCTTTGAATATACATAAAAGATATAATGAAGAAGCAAAAGAAAAAGGTAGACAACCCAAAACAATCATTTTTGCTAACTCCTCACGATCCTTCATTTTATCATATTTCATAAGTCCTCCAGTACTAGGGTTTAGAGTTCCTTGATTTTCATCTAAATCAGAGCCTCATTCTATAGGATGAGTAACTCTCATATGTCTATTAAGTGCTCCAGTCCCCCCAAAACTTCCTCCACTCTTATGTTTAAAATCATCTTTACAAAATTTGCATCTAATTCTATTAGTATTTTCTATTTCGTCAAAATATTTCCAAACTTTACTTCTCCTTCTCCGATGACTACTAGTCGGGGCCACAGGCGCTCTACTACTGGTGCCACGACCACCATCCCTGCTACCAACTCCAACACTACTAGGTGTAGGTGGTGTCTCATCTTCAATTTCCAATTCAATATCTTCTATACCGTAATTATAACGACCCGGTTGGTCGCTTTGAGTTTTACAGTCCTGTTCTCCCATTTACTGCTTATTATGTGTTCAATTATAATTATGTGACTTTTCGGGGAGGTTTCAGAATGAATGGAAACACTTAGTTCCAAGAATTAAAGTTTAAGTTAAAATAATTGTCGGATGATGAAAAATATGTAAACGG